GCCGTCGATCAAAAAACTCCTTAGCCGCATCCCGCATTACACGGACACCAAGCTCTAACAAGCACCGAGGAATACTAAGTGGACCAAACGCTCAACCAAGACTTCAACTTTGAGTTCCTCAGCCAAGAAATAAAGCGCCCTGCCGCACTACACCTCGGATGAGCACTTCATTCCTCAACTTCAGAACTAGGGGAGTGGTGTTCGGGTCATAGTTGAGCTGGCCTTAAATGCCACATGGCCACCCATTCATCACCAAGTCAGCATGGCCACGTCGGCATCGCCCGACCAGCTCCATGGCATACACCGACTCTGCAGCCATGACTGCGCTACGCCATCTTTGTAGCCCCCCACCTTATCCTCTCAGCCACGCCAGACCCCTGTCACACGGATAAGCACGACCAAGGACAGGAGGCGGGATGAGGACAACTCCCTTGGGGATTAGGACTCTATCCCAAAAACCTAGGCGATTAACCTCATCCCAGCAACCCCGAAAGTCTAATCCGACCAGGACATGGACCTTTGGATATAAAAGGGTATCTCCCGCTCAAGGTAAGGGATTTCGACTTCTAGCACCCATATTGTCACTTTGCTCAGACCAGCATCCTCATTTCTCGGCCCGACTATCCACTACCTTCTACTAACTTGAGCATCAGAGCATCTACCCAGGGATAACTCCTCGGGCCTCTGACATCCTTTTCTTGATCACAGGTCTTGAGGCGCGGTTCTGTCCTTCCACCTCGGCTCCACCCTATTGGCAAGGACTATCTGACTACAACCTCGGTTTGTACACCACCTCGGATCGAACAACATCAGAAATCAAAGAAGTGAAGGTGGGCAGAATGGATGCCTCCTCAAGTCACACCACCTCGATGGAGACCGCTTTCACTAAATAAATCACCTAAGAGTTTCTCATTTCGAACTTCAAGGCTCCTTACCTAGAGACATATGATGGCATGACTGACCTAAAGAACCACTTAAAAGCTTTCGAGCTATGATGCTATTGCATGGGTTTTTATGATGCCCTGTTATGCCAAGCTTTCCAGGCCACATGGTTATCCAAATTGCCCCCTCTCGCTTCATTAGTTCATGGGATCAATTTGTAAACCTCTGCCTTTATCACATTGTCAATTGATGATGTTGCCAAAAGATGTCAACAATCATGATGTTGACCAAACAAAAGTTGGATGAGCCACTCTAGGATTACATTTAGAGCTTCAATGTCAATGCCTTTGAAGCCAAGGAGTTTGATAAAGCCATGGCAGTAGTGACAGTCACCAACAGTTTGAATTCTTCCTTTAGTTTTTCCTTAGCTAAGGAACCACCTCGTACCATGGTTGAGCTCTTGTCTTACGCTAAAAAGTATATAAATGTTGAAGAGGCCCAAGCTAGCAAGCAAGTTGTGGAGGAAGGTAGGAAGAAGAAGTAGGGAGTGCAAATGGATCGAATCATATCCAATCTTATTTTGGTAATTATCCCCCTTTTTGGATTTCTAGATTGGATTGGATAAATACTATCCAATTAAAAAGTATATCAAATTCGGTTTACTCCTCTTGATTTGAAAGAATCTAATGGATTTCTAGATCGGATTGGATAAATATGACCCAATTAAAAAGCATATCGAATTCGGATCACCCCTATTGATATGAAAGAATCTAATTCGGATTCGGATATACCTTCATACGTATTCAATTTGTTCTGTTTGCATCCCTAACTTAGAGGAAGGACAGGATGAGTTAAGGCTTGGAAACTCACAATCCAAGATAAATCATCCAAGTAGGTACCACCCTCGTATGAAGCCTACACTCTATTGAACACCTCCCGAAGCCACATCTTTATGCAGTTTGGGAAGCAAAACTTTGTACAATGGCCTACAAAAAATGAAGAAAAACCCAACGAAGGGAAACTACGACAAGTATTGTAAATACCACCAAGGTATCAGCCATGACATGAATGAGTGCCAAGAACATAAAAATAAGATAGAAGCTCTAATAAAAAAAGGTACTTGAAAGACTTCGTTTGGAAGGATAAAAAATCCGGATTGACCTCAAAGCAACCTGACCTCATAACCAATAGGCTCCTAGTTGAGGTCATTAATGTAATATCTAGTGGCCTACTAATAAGCAGAGAAAGCTCTTTGTAGGGGTGTTCATGGTTCGGTTAACCAAATCATGGGCCTTTTTTGTAACCGACCTGGTACTACTGGCTTTTGGAAAACCAATAATTGAAACCAAACAAAAACCAATTGGTTAACTAGTTGATTGGTTCGGTTAACCATCGATTCAGTTCGTTAGTTTTTTATTTTTTAATTTTTTTAATATATATTATAAATATATATATATATATATATATATATGTAATAAAAATTTATAAATATATATTGATGAGGGCAGATTTTCCCTCCATTGACATCATGACACATGGCATATCAAAACAGTTGGACTACATCCCAACATCACCTAGGCAACACACTTGCCTTAGCCAAAATGGGGTCCCAACTGGTGACTAGGGTTGTTCATAAGAAGATCCAACCCGACCAACCCGGATTGACCCAACCCAAGTCGGCTGGATTTTTTTCAGCACCGGATGGTTTTAGGTTATAAAAAATCATAAACCGATGATTCGGTTCGGTTTCGATTTTCATGTGTGAAAATTGAAACCAACCCGAACCGAACGACTTAGTAGTTAGTTCCTAGTTAGTAGTTACAACCTACTTAGTTACACTATATATCTCTCATCTCTATAGTGTAAGTGGACACCAGTTGGCAAATAGTACTCTCAAACTCAACTCCCTCCACAACTGGATCCATGGATGGGTCACAAAACATTAAGGAAATGTTGGTTTCCTTTGAGAATGTAGAGCCAGAAAGGAACACTTGAACAACAACTAAGTCACCACTAAGTAGAGCCGAAACTGACCCAAACCGACTCAAACCAATCAGGTCGGTTTTGCTTAACACAGGGTCGATTTTGGTTTCAATTTCAGGTAACCTGACCAGGTCAGGTCGGTTGGAAAAACATCAGTAAACCGACCCAAGCCGACCCATGAACAGCCCTACTGGTGACCTGCCTCTGCCGCTGACCTGGCGACCTACCTCTGCTGCCGACCTGGCGACCTACCTCTGCCATTGTAGGCCTTATCCTCATCCCGCTCGAATCGGAGGGAAATAGTAAGCCTTATTAACTAGCACATTATCCTCATTCCAAAGCAGAACGGACCCCTACGTCGTGGGTCGAGGATTCCGGGAGTGTTTCGTGAGACCCACAACAACCCAGCTATATAAGGGCATCAGCCCTTGAGACCGAGGTAGATGTGCAATTTAGTTCTTGCAGCTCTCCAGATCTCTCACATTTAGCTATCTTAAAAATCTCTAATTCGCTAACTTAAGTATCAGAGTGCCCTCCCCAGGTAAAGCAACCGGGCACTATGACACTGTTTCCTCGCAGGTCGCATCAGAGCCACCTCTCCAGCTTGTCACTATTCAATTAGGCATCAGAGCCATCTCTCTAGCTTGTCACCACTCAGTTAGGCATTAGAATCACCTCTCTAGCTCGTCATCATTCATCTAGGCATTAGAGCCACCTCTCTAACTCGTCACCATTCAACTAGGCATCAGAGCCACTTCTTCACCTCTCCAGCTCGTCACCATTCAACTAGGCGTCTAAACCACTTTCTAGGTAGGAACCATTCAGCTAGGCATCCAAGCCACATTCTAAGTAGGGATTATTCAGCTAGGCATCTGAGTCACTAGCCAGTCGGGAACTGCCAAACACGCATCATCATATATAAAATATTATATTTTAAATAATAAATAATATGTATACCTATCGGTTCGGTTAACTACCGGTTTTCTATATTGGTTAATCGAAACTGAACTAGTACCTTTGATTTTTTAAAAACACCGAACCGACCAATTTGGTTAACCAATTTTTTGGTTTGGTTTCAATTAGTTCAATTTTTCGGTTTTTTTTGCTCACCCCGCGAGAAAGGCAAAGAGTTCACTCTTAAGAATGTCGGATCAACCTCAGCCTCTCATTTTGAACTGGGTTGCCAATGCCTATTCAATGGCAGAGTTCACTCTTATGAAAAAAAAATGTCGGATTCAGAGTGAATCTCAAAGATACGTCATCGAAAAGTACAAAACTTTTGAAAAACAAGGTATCATTGATTGTGAATTGATTGGACCATTCATAACAGGAGCAATTTTCAATTGGACGATCCAACAACCCATTGGCATTGGGAACATCTCCCCAAATTGCACGGAGGGGACGGGGCGTCGGGCGCGCTCTGTGATAATTGATAAAGCCCATCCAAACTCGAACTCGGGGGGCGCGGGGGGATGGGATGCCCCACCTTGCAGTTGCAGTTGGCATCAGTGGACTAGTGGAGGAGGAACGTGATTGTGATACAATGCAAAGCAGGTGTACTGTATTATAGGGATTTTGATAAAAAAAAAAGGAAATCATAAAACGTTTTAAAGGTGAGTCAAAGTGAGACTTTTCTTCGTAACAATGGGAAGAGCGTCACATTCACTTTTTCTATCACATATGTACGACGTGTTTCCCATTTTAGCTAACATTTGCCTTCATCCCCCTTCTTTTTCTTGCTGTCTTTGTGAAATCATTTCACTCAACCCTTTAACAAATTGTATCGTTTACATCACACGTGTTACATTTTTAGATTTTACTAAAAAGAGAAAAAAAACAGCACACGTGTCACCCAATTTCTATTTTCCAAAAGGATAAAAAAGTACCCATTTCTATTCAAGTCACGGCTCTAGTAGTCAAAAGCCACCAACTGCTGGCGGCCTTTTTTGACTCTAGACCTCATTCTTAACCCGACCCGGACTCCAAAACTGAAAACCCTAGTCCAATGGTTCATTCCCTCGCTGCAAAAGTCAATAACTTTTAATCAAATAAATAAATAATACATACCTCCACTTCCTTAAATATAACCACAAATTTGAACTGTAATCACCAATTCACCCCTTCCCCAATCCATTGAAATTGGTGAAGAAAAAGAGTTTTGGCCTTGTGGAAACTCACCAGGATTCAGCAATGGTGACTGGTGAGGAAGCAGCAATCCATCTGTGCTGTGCTCAGTCGTCGGTCCACAGACAATCAAAGTGGCAATTTAGTAATTTAACTAAAAACAACCAAGAAAAAAACAGAGTTCTTGAGACTCAGCTCTGGCCTCTGGATTCAGTAGTGGGAAGAAATCAGCAATCCATCTGTATTCTGTCATTCTGTGCTCTGTTTGGTCTACAAACAAGCATAGTGGCAATTTGGTAATTTAACTCAAATTAACCACGGAAGCTCAGGCTCTAACATATATTTTCCAAATCTGTGATATCTCTCTCTCTCTCTCTCTCTCTCTCTCTGTCTATGCTTTGTTCTCTGCTTGTAACTTGCCCCAAGAGCACTGGTACGCGAAATCTCTATACTTTCAGGTATTTTCCGATTCATGATTTCCTTTCTTTTCTTTCTGTGCTAATAATTTTGAATTTTTAGTATTGAAATAGAGCTTTGATGATCCAATTATTAGGCCAAGGAGCTCGAAGAAACTAGCAATGGCGCCTCCGATCCTGTCCTTAGCTCTGCCATCCGAGACGGGTCGAGTTCTCAGCATTCAATCTCATACTGTTCAGGTATATTTCTTTTGTAATGTTTCTGATTTCGTTATCCACTTATCCTCTCTCTCTCTCTCTTATCGTTGTTTTCTTTGTGTATTATGGCCTTTCTGGGCCAGTTGAAAGGATTTCAACACAAAGATTTGAATATTGCTCTTATTCCATCAAGTTAATGTGCTCTATAATCGCAAGTAGTTTGACAAATCTTTGCTGGATGTTTCGCCATATTCAAGATGGGGTCTGGAAGGTGGTAAAGATAGCGTTGCTTGATAATTACAAATGAAGCATAAATGATTACTTGAATCATTCTTAAACTCCACCTGTTGGACATATTTCAGTAATGGCTATATTATAGTCCATGCGAGAAAATTCAAAATTGCAGTGACCAAAAGTTGTAAAATTCTGACCTTATCCAGTTTTCACCGTGGTTTTGATGAGGAATGAACGAGCTGTTGTTCCTCGATGAATGTGTTATTTATGTTGACCATTTTTGTATCAAATAATGTTATACGGTTTATTAATGCCTGATATTTTTCTGCTTTTTCTTAGGGATATGTTGGAAACAAAGCAGCTGTCTTTCCTCTTCAACTGCTGGGATATGACGTGGACCCAATTAACTCAGTGCAGTTCTCTAATCACACAGGCAAGCTGCTTTATATACGGTGCGAGCTTATCTGTCAATCTGTATAAGTTCATGGCTGCATGCAATTGTAGTCTGGATGTAAGGCAGGAAATTTTCTTAACAAATATGGGATTGTGCAGGATACCCGACGTTTAAAGGCCAGGTTTTAAATGGACAGCAACTGTGGGATTTAATAGAAGGTCTTGAAGCAAATGATTTATTATACTATACTCATCTACTTACAGGTATGAATGGCTTTATGTGTTGCTTGCATTAATGGTAATTCATGGCTTTGAGTATTTTGTTTTCCTTCTTATTTTTGGGATAGTAAATTCTTTTGAAACATCAGAAGCGGAAGGTTTGTCAAATTCTTCAAAATAGTGAATTATGCTTGTGGTAAACCAGGGAGGGGTTATTCATCAAAAAAAAAAAAAAAACCAGGGAGGGGTTGCCAAAACCAAGAGCTCGTACTTGTGCACAGGACTTACATACAAAGTTAGGCCCTATAACCCAAAAGCTTAAGCTATTAGGTTGTGGGTCAATCTTGTGTTTCTTGCCTCTCTTATCCCTTTCCAATGTGGAACACCATCCACTAACACATGAATCCCAACAATCTCCCTCTTTTTTTTTTGAGAGAAGTTAACTGATTTCATTAAAAGAAAGAGGGGTACACAAGAAGGTGTACAAATACAAAACAGGGGCCAGACCCTTGAGAATTACACAAGGAAAATTATCACAATACAAGGTCTCCAGAATGACACCTATTTTTGCCAAACCATCTATGATGGCATTTAGCTCCCTTGGAATCCAGTATAGAGAAACATTCGTATGAACCAATAGGTCCCTTGCCTCTGTTAAAAAGTGACTTAAGCCTCCATGGTCCAGCCTCCTATTGTCCTAACCATTTTATAGTATTTGCTGAGTCACCTTCAATGGAGAACTTCTGAATACCTAGTTTGCTGATTAGGCGAATCCCTGTAAGAGCTGCTAACACTTCTGCCTTTGTGGAGTCATCTATCCAAATCGGACCATTGTATACCCAAGTGCTTCCATCAAAGCCTAGAGCCCAAGTTCCTTCCCTTCTTAATGAGGGAACACTGGGGGGAGTGGGGGGCGAATTGGAATAGAAGGGGAGGGGATCAGAAAGTTATGCACATTCCTATTAAGGTCGTTGACATTGATTCCTATGAACTCCTCTGAGCTGGAAGTCCACAAATTGCAGTGATAAGTGATGTGGTTGATCAGCTCACCCTTAGATTTTACCTTATTTTCAAGCAGTCGATTGTTCCTTTCCTCCCAAATTCCCCAGAGCATAGCATGAAGTACTATCAGCCAGTAAGCCTTACCTCTCTTGCTCAGACCTCTTCCCAACTATAGCCAACTAGCTGTAGGAAGAAGTTCCAGATGTTGCTGGTTACCTGGCAGTGTATGAAGAGGTGGTCAGTTGTCTCTCCCTCACGGAGGCAGAGGATACATACGTGAGGGGAGATAAAAAGAATTCCAAGGTTTTTCTTCTATAGTATCTCACAAGTGTTTACTCGATGCAGACAAGCCTCCCAAACAAAGAAACTCAATCTTGAGGGGACAAACTTGCACCAGATCTTCTTGAAAGGGAAGTCACAGTCTCTGTTTCCTGCAACCAGAGCTTCGAAGAAGGACTTGGACGAGAACTCACCTCTGGGGTGGAGTTTCCAGACTCGGGAGTCTTGGGAGTTTGGAGAAATGTAGACTTCTCTAAGAGAGAGGATGAGGTCAGTTATCTCACTGATCTCTGGTTCCCTTAAGGCTCTTATGAGGCTCAAGTTTATGTTGCTTCCATTGGGAGAATTGGGGAGGCACTGAGAGATGGTTGCATCTTTGTTTTGGGTAAGGTTGTAGAACCTAGGATAAGAATCTGCTAATGTGGAATTACTCCACCACAGATCCGTCCAGAACTTTATTCTCGTTCCATTACCCACCCTAAATCTTATGAAAGAAAGAAAGAGGTTGTGAATGGAAGTGATGCCTTTCCAGGGATTTGAGGAAGCTGATCGGTTTGAGCGAAAATTGCAGTTCCAACCGTTTGCATTTAACCCATACTTATTGGTGATGATGGCTACCCAAAGGGAGTTAGATTCAATGGGGAATCTCCAAAGGGAGTTAGATTCTTCTCTTTTAGGTGTCCAATTCCCAGTCCTCTAGCCTCTTTTGGTTTGCAGACTTGATTCCAATTTACTAGATGCCTTTTTCTAACACCTCCACCTTCCCATAGGAAATCTCTTTGAAGTTTCTCGATCTGTGATCTGATTTTGGCAGGAATCTGAAACACTGAAAGGAAATAGACGTGCATGTTTGCAAGGGAAGCCTTAATGAGGGTAAGTCTACCCCCTTTTGAGAGATAACAACTTTTCCAAGTAGCTAACTTCTTTTCACATTTTTCCATCATTGGCTCCCAAAAATTTGGATTTTTTGGATTCCTGCCTAGGGGCATGCCCAAATAAGATAAGGGGAGATTTTCCACTCGACAACTCAGAGTTTCCTTGAAATTTTCTAGGAGGGAATCTTCAATTTGGTTTATAGCTGCTAGGCTACTCTTTGAGTAATTTACCTTCAACCCAGAGACTAAATCAAAACATTGAAGCACTTTTCACATTTAAAATATTCTCCAAATTGGCTTCCAAGAACAGGATGGCATCATCTGCAAATAGGAGATGGGAGACCTTTATGGCATCTTTTCCTACCTCAAAACCTTTGATTAAGTTAAGGTTTTTGGCTTTCTCCATGAGCTGGCTAAAGACACCCATTACCAAAGTGAAGAGGAAAGGGGAGAGAGGACAGCCCTGCCGGAGACCCCTACTAGCTTTAAAGTAGCTTTTGGGCTCTCCATTGATCATGATCGAGAACCAGGTTGAACTTATACATCCTTTCATCCAGTGCAGCCATTTCGTTCCAAAATGCCTCAACTGAAGAGCTTGGAGAAGGCAGTCCCAATCTACTTTGTCGTAAGATTTTTCAAGATCTAGTTTCACAAGGAGTCCCGTCCTTCCACTCTTCTTTCTATCTTCGATAACTTCGTTTGCAATTAGGATGCTGTCTACAATCTGCCTTCCTTTCACGAATGCAAACTGATTTTGAGAAACCATCTCTTTTAGGACTTCTCTAAGTCTTTTTGCCAACACCTTTGCCAGAATTTTGTACACACTCCCTATAAGGCTTATTAGTCTGTAGTGTTTCACTTCCAAAACACCATTTTTCTTAGGGATGAGGCAAATAAAAGTAGAATTAATTCCTTTGTTTACAACCGCCGTGGAGCAGAAGTCCTTAAAGACCTCTAGAAGATCCATTCTTACAACTTTCCAATAGATCTAAAAGAAGAAGATTGGGAAACCATTAGGCCCAGGGTCTCTATCTCCATCCATATCGAAGATTGCTTTTCTTATTTCTTGCTCCTCAAATTCCCTTTCAGCCAAATTTTCTTATCTTCTGCTAGAATTGGCCCTTCCCAACTTCTTAAATTAGTCTTCCTAAGATTTTCCTTTGAATAAAGATTTTTGAAGTGGTTTAGAAATGCCTCTGTGATTTCTTCTGCATCTTCCACCTCCCTCTGATCCACCTTAATTTTTGAGATGAGATTTTTTCTGCGCCTACCCGATGCATAGCTGTGGAAGAATTTTGAGTTGTTATCTCCTTCCTTTAGTTATCTGATCCTTGACCTCTGCCTCCAAAAGATTTGTTCTTTTTTTATTACCTTTTCCAAAGAACTCCTTAGACCATCTCTCCTACTTCTTCTTTCTCCGTCCAGAACTCCTAATTGCTCCTTTTTATCTAAATCTTCCAGCTCCAGAAGGATGGCATTTTTTTCCTTTGCAAACGATTTGAACTCTTCTCTCCCCAAGGATCTCAACTTTCTTTTCAGGAATATCAGCTTTTGCAACAGTCTGTACCCAGCCCAGCCTTTGACTCTACACTGCTTCCACCAGGAAGCTACATTTTTGTGGAAATCTTTATGAAGAGTCCACATTTTCTCCAGTCTAAATGGGGGTTTACCTTTCAAGACCAGGTTTGTTCTTAGGACTAAAGGCCAGTGGTCTGAAGTGCAACGAGGTCTAATTTCTTGGAGAAGATTTGGGAACTTTTTTGCCCAATCTGAAGTTACCAGAAACCTGTCTAGTCTGTAGCTTGTTGGGTTCTCTTGTAGATTTGACCAAGTGAATTGGCCATTATGGAGAGGAAGGTCACACAGATTGTGTCTTGAGATAAATTTGGAGAATTCCCTCATGCTTCTAGTTGCTGTTCTTCTGTTGGAGTTTTCTTGAGAGAACCTTGTTACATTAAAGTCGCCTCCTAATACCCAAGGGATTTCATCAAACTCATGTAGAGCGTCCAATTCTTCCTAGAGTCTTTGCCTATTTGAAGGAGTATTTGGTCCATATACTCCAGTCAAAATCCAGCTGAAACCATCATTCTTATTGGTAAAAAGTACAGAGATTGAGAACTCTCCTCTATCAATTTCAATACCCGAAACCTCATCTTCATTCCAAGCTAGGATAATTCCCCTTGAGGAGCCTAAAGAAGGAAGAATAGCCCATTTCTTTCCATGGATTCCCCAAATTGCTCTCAGAAGCTTCCTGTCTACTTCTTATTTTTATGTTCCTTGGAGGATGACTATATCTAGTTTTTCTCTTCTCAATGTGCCTTTTACCAAACTTCTTTTTATTTGGCCTCCCAACCCTCTAACATTCCAACTCAATAGTTTCATTAAGCTCTGATCACTAATTTTCCCTTGTCCACCCTAGGCCCTGTTGTTTTTTGATCTGTCAATCCCCATTAAAGTCTCTTTAGCTCCCTTTTAGAGTTCTTCTTGCCACTTTTCACAAACTCAATGTTTTGGGTTCCTTATTTCCCCTTTTTTGGAGCCTGATTGTGTGAAGTTCCCTTTTCTTCACTTATCCCCAATTTTCAAGCCGTCTCAAAGACTCCTCTTTCCAGATTAATATCCCTTCTGCCTGTCCGAACTATGTTGCCCTTTGTCAGACCTTTCTTGGTAGCTTTGGCTAATGCTCGGTTGGGATAGATCTCCATTCAAACCTGGAAGACAGAGAGGGGAAGTAGGGTGAGATCCAAGATTAGAAGAAGAAAAAGAAAAGTTTACAGGCAAAGGAGAGGAGGGAGAAGGGGAAACTCTGGTGTAGGAGTGTGAGTCTCGTCCTCGATCTCTTTCTAGGCTTGCTGGCTCACAGTCTATTCCATACTCAGGGTTTACAAGAAGTGTCTATTCGATTATTTCTACACTTCCCCAAGCTTCCTTTCCAGAGAAAAGATCTTTTGCCCTTGAGAACACCACCTCCTTGGGGTCTGGTTCGATCTCTGTCGCATAAGAGCTTGAATCTTCAGCTGTGTTGGTGTCGTCTGCCTTGAAGAGAGAGGAGGAGCTTAAACTGTCTGGTGATGGAGGCCTGTAAATTTTTCTGTTGTGTCTTCTCGAGCTAGGGGCTCGGTTAAGGAGTTTGGGGTCTCAAGTGGACTTGGGCCGTAGGGGACTTCTTTCAAGTCTGTCGGATGGGCTTTTGAGAAATTTCGGTCCAAGTCTTTAAACTGTTTTGGGTCCCTTAACTTGAGAGAACTGTTGGGAGGGTGGCCCACTTTTTGATGAAAATTTGAAAATTGAACGGGGTTGCCGAGGGCGGCTTGGCCCGCCTTGCTTTTTCAGCTCCTCTTTTTAATGGGCCTAAAAGTATTTCTTTTGGGAAAAAGTCTAGGCTTCTCCAAAGGGCCTGCCTTTGACGATTTCCTTCCTTCGGATTTATGAAAGATTGCAGAAATGGCTCTTGAACCTGCCAGGAGCTTCAGGTCCTATTACGTGTGAGTCCCTTGTCAACTATTCCCCCCCCCCAAACCACAGTTGCTAACTCGTAACTAAGTTTCACATGCACCATACCAATAGCCTTTTTGCTCATGACTATAGAAATCCCACTCAACTGCTAACTACTAACAGAGAGTTATCACCATCAACCATGGGTGGATCAGGTGATGGGAATCACCGACCACTCACCTATCTGAGCACACTCAACCATGGGGAATGGGGAAGCCATGGGAGTCACCAACCGTTCTTGAAAACCACTCACCAACTGCTCTCACCAATCGTTTAACCATGGGGAATTGGCAAAGCCATGTGAGTCACTTCATGCATCCATCAAAACATGCACCCAATTGAACTGTTAGATTTGATACACTTCTTGGGGGAATTAGGGAAGAGTTTCCAAAACCAGGAGCTCGGGCTTGGATAGATGCGTTGGACACCACCTTATCCACGGGAGTCATCCACCATTCTAGAAAACACTCACCAAGTGCTTGACCATGGGGAACCAATAGAGCCATGGGAGTCATCGCATGCATTTGTCAAAGTTTGCACCCAAGTGAACCCTTAGCTTTGAGACCACTTGTTGGGGGAACTAGGGAGGAGTTGCCAAAAGTGATAGCTTGTAGACGTGTGTTGGACTTACAAGAGTTGGACACCACCTCTAACCCAAAAGCTTAAGCTATTAGGTTGCAAGCCAATCTTGTATGTAAGTCCCTTGCCTCTCTTATCCCTTTCCAATATGTGACACTATCTACTAATATGTGATTCCCAAAAAAAATAAACATAATATACATGTGACCCATCACAGAAATGCATGCTTATGTTATATATTGATAGAAGTAATGAAATTGACTTAAATCAGAGTGGCTAATTGGGTTACAATTTGGAGATCTTCAAAGGCAACCCATTTAA